AATGTTCAGCAGAATTTACATTTATCATTATTATTATTATTATTATTAATAAATTATATATATATATATATATATATATATATATATATATATATATATATATATATATATATATATATATAAATACTACATATTTTTTTATAAATGCCAACAATAATAATCCACTTTTATTATTTTTATTGATATAAAAAATATATTAATATTTATATTATCATCATTCTTATCATTATTATGGTCAAAATAATACAACTAAGACAGAATAAACAATAAAACTAAGATATTTTAATAAACTTTATTATTTATTTATGTCATTTTAACATTTCAATAATTTTATATTAGTACTTAAATAATCAATTATTCAATTTATTGATTAAATATTAAGCAGAATAGCATTTAAAAAATTAAGTAATAAGATTAATACAATTATTATTAACAACAACAAAAACAATAATAATAATAATAATAATAATAATAATAATACATTTTATATAAAATTAATAAATACTATATAATGCTTTATAAATGCCAACAATAATAATGTGCTATTATTATTATTATTATTATCATCACCATCATGGTCAAAATAATAAGACTAAGACTATTTGCAAAAGGATATATTTTAATACTGTTATTCAATACATATTTATGTTATACTTACATTTCAATAATGTTAAAATAGTATTTAAATAATCAATTATTCCATCTATTTATTAAGTATTACGCAGAATTTAACATTGTAAAAATGAAATAATCAATCAGATTAATAATAATAATAGTAATAATAATAATAATAATAACAACAACAACAACAACAACAACAACAACAACAACAACAACAACAACAACAACAACAACATTCAAATATCTTATAGTAATCTTATAATTCAGCATTTTATATCATGAAGAGAATCGACTATTCACTGGTTATTTTGTATATCAATAATAATTGATTAACTCTAAAAAATAAAAAATGAAATTTCAAATCTTACGGGCAATACTTTCTCGAAACATAAATGTGTATAATTCATTTCTACTACAGAGGGCTGGAAGCAGATCATTGCATTAACCCATTCCCTGCCTCCAGGGTCCAGAAAGCATCTCTCAGCATTCATATGCCAGAATAATGACCTTTGCAGAAACTCCTATCTCCTTACAACACATGTACTCTATAGCTCAGTGAGGGAAATCCCCTTTTTGTAGGACTTTACACAATAAGTGTGCATTCTAGTAGAAGAATATTCTAATAAAGAGAACAACAACGATGTGCTCATTCTAAAAGATCACATAGAATAAGCTTGACTCTGATTGGCTAACCAACATTCTAATGTGTGTGGTTATTTTTATATATGGCAAACATTCTGCTAAAGCAGTTCCAAGCAGGTTGTGACCACATTAAAGTTCTATATCAGTATGCTGAATAATGTCAGCTATTTCCCGAATACAACAGTCAAACTATCAAATCGAAAAAACAGAAGAGTAAGAAATGAGTTCTACACGAGCAGTTTGAGGGCAAAAACCTGACAAATATCTTGAAATACAACATCAGAATAGTGATGTGGCAATCAAGTGGAATACTTCACTTTGGGATGTTGTATTATAGAAAAATAATGCAGAGGTGCCATTACACCTTGCATTATTTTCTAATAATCCAACAGCCCCGAGTTAATTATTCTACCTATACAACAGTTACAGCACACTCAAAAACTAATCCTGCTTGAAACTAGTGTAAAAAAAATCCTGGGTTCCACACAATCGATTTGTGTTGGGACAACATGAAGGAATTAAGTTGGATGATTAGTTTTTCCATATTAAGTAGATAGCACTTAAAACAACTAAGTTGTACCCTTAAAAAACTCACAAATTTTGTCGTTCCAGTTCATTTTAAATAAGCAATATAAAAAAAACTGCAAACATCATTGTTCATGAGTACTTTAGCTGTCCATTTAATTAATAACAACTAAACACTCTATAATGTTCATCGGAATCAAGCATTCAACAACTTACTAGTATAAATGATAACAATAAATGATTAATTTTTTTTCATAGCTATGTAATTATACTACTTTATTTTTTATTGTTTAAATTAATTTTTAATTAAATTTTTACATTTTTATTTAATTAAATTAAAAAAAATATTTAATTAAAAATTTAATTAAATTAGTTTTAAATCATTAATAAAAATTATTAACTTTACTGTTGATCATCAGTTGGCAGCATTAACACTTTAGGTTTTTCTGGCTTTCATATGGAGTTCTATGGAGTAAAACAACAAATTGTAGTGTGTGTGCATGAATACACTTACTATGTTCTGAAAGCTGAGGTGCTTATTATTCTCAGACATATCAAGGTAAGTGTGCAAAGGTCTCTCCCACACCCACACTATACTCCAAATAACCCCATATAAAAGCCACAAACTGTTGTTTTGCACTGCAAAGGTAAAATGAGACATTTACATCTTTTAAACACTCTTCCAAAAAACCACCAACAATCAAGAATGCATGATTGTATGGTGTCATGTCTTTTAAATCAAGCAATGTAATTATAATGGAAGTCAAAGAGGCAAAAACAGCCTCCAACATAATGAAAGGGTAGTCAATTTTGTTGTTGATTTTTTTTTCTTAGAATATGAGTCAAAATAAGGTTTGCCGCCAAAAATCATTCCATGTGCTGAACTACAGAGAAAGATGTGGTCAAATAAAAAAATAAAAAGTCGTTATAATGGAAGTCAATGGGGCAAAAACAGCTTCCAACATAACGAAAGGGTAGTTAATTTGCCCAGAGTTTGTTGTTGAGTTTTTGAAAAAGTTCAAAGTATTTTCCCAGAATATGAGTCAAAATAAGGTTTGCCACCAAAACTCCTTCCATTTGCTGAAAGAGAAAGTTGTGGCCAAATTAAATAAAAAAATTTCATTATAATGGAAGTCAATGGGGCAAAAAAGTCCCCAACATGATGAAATGGGCAATAAATTTGCCCAGTGTACTGTTGACTTTTTGAAAATTATTTTAGCATTTTCCCAAAATATGCAAAATAAGATTTGTCGCCCAGTTGTGGCCAAATTAAGACTCAAAATCACCTCAGAGTGTATGAAAACATCCCCAACAGCAAAAATCTACTAACTCACCTACAGCATATTCATAGGATAGAGCCCCTGTCTTCGCAGAATCGCCTTCAGCTTTTCAATAATTCAAAATAGCTCTTCCACAACAATATTCTTCCATCAGTGGGGCAGTTTTGCTCAGGTATACAGGTTAAGTTCAGCAGATGCTTTCTGGAAAAGCTTTTATTTCTGCATTTTCTGACAAAAGGCTTTTGAGTTGGGGTTAGACACAAAGCCCAGATGTAATCAACATGTCTGAGATTAGTGCACAGAAGGATCTTTGAGTAATCATAGAGACATATAGCATGGACATCTACTTAAAAAGGGATTAAAAGCCACTGCTTTTCGTCGATTTGGACATGTAGGATGATCCTGGAACTATATTTTTTATATCAGATTTAAGATGAGGTTATGCTTTACGAGGTACAAACGTCATCTACAGTATAACTAATCTTTTTCATCAAATGTTCAAGAAAAGATTATGAACTAGGATCAAGCCCGACATAAAAAAAATATAAATAAAATAAAAAATCACTAAAATGCTGACTTTTTCATCTAAAAGTTCAAAGTTTAGTCAATTAACTTACAATGTCCAGAAATAATGTTGTGATTCTGAGATGAAAGTCAATCTTGCAATTATGACTATAATTGTGACTAAGTCTATATGTCTTTTTTTCCTCATGACTACAAAACATAACTTAAACTTATGATGATGATATTCGCATGATATTCGCACATCTAAAAAATTGAATCGTACCTTTTTCATAATTATGAGTAGGTGATCTTGAGATTCTGAATTTATTTCTGGCATTAGGATTACTTTATATGTTGTACAATTAAATAGTTTTTCCCCTTAGAACTGCAAGATATAAACATTCATTCATTCATTTTCTTGTCAGCTTAGTCACTTTATTAATCCGGGGTCGCCACAGCGGAATGAACAGCCAACTTATCCAGCATGTTTTTATGCAGCAGATGCCCTTCCAGCCGCACAAGATATAAACATGAAATTGCTAAATATTTGCAACTTTCTCAGAATTGCGAGTTTAGAGGCATGATTTTCGCAAATCTAAAAAATGTAATCGTAACTTTTTCATACTTGTGAGTAGGTGATCTCACCATTCTGACTTTATTTCACGCAATTTGTTTTTCTTCAGAATCACAAGATATTAACTACGAATTAGAAAATGCTGTACTATTTTTCACATTGTGTTCCAGTTTTACTTTTTTGCTCATAACTGCAAGATTCTCCCAATTCTCAAAAATATAGCAATTTTAAGAAGTTCCAAGAGGTCAAATTGCAATTATTTTACACAACTGCGACTTAAAAATGAAACCTAAATTGTAAAGTTTTTTTTATTTCCAATGAAAAAAAGACAGAATTATAAAATCCTATAATTACTTTATTAGTTATCCAAATAAATAAATAAATAAATAAAGATTTCCAACCAAAAATTTTGTTGCTTGTTCAAACTACTTATTTAAAATGAGCTAAAAAAACAAACAAACACACATTTCTTGAGATTTCATTGGGACAACCTAAGTTTTTTATGTTCAATCCACATAAATTTGTAAAAACAATTAAGTTAACTTAATCGATTTGTGCTGGGACAACATGAATAAATTGTGTGGAATCCAGCATTTTTTACAGTGATCTAGCTAATGAAATATATTACACACAATTACATATCATTTTCATACACTGTGACTGGCCCCAACATGCTTTTTAGTTTTAACCAACAGCTTCTTGCCTACACCAATTTCTTTGTTATGCCTCTAATATTATTTCTAATATTCTAATATTATTTCTCCAATATTATTTCATCACAATCATTTGTTTAGAGCAGCCTAATACATGTGGATCTTTTCTTAAACAAATAACAAAGAGAAATCCAGCCCTACCTTCACTGTACGTCTGTATGTTTGGAGAGTCCGTAGAGGAAGCGCTCGATCACACCATCTCTCATCTGATTATTTCCACACAGAGGGGCTAAAACTTCTCTCCAGACCTGAAATCTGTCGGCTACATGTTTGGATCTGTGAAGCTCGTGGTAATGCCAAAGCAAGTACAGCAGAAAGAGCGAAAGGAGGAGTTATGAGGAGAGAGAGAGAGAGAGAGAGAGAGAGAGAGGATATATCTCTCACACACACTCACACACACAAAACTCTAAATGATAACAAGCTAATCGTAAAATGTTCATTGTTAAATACACTGTTATGTTTGGATTATTTATCACTACTATGTCATTTGTTTTCATATGTCCTATTTAATGTAATACTTGACTACAATTTACTATGGTTTGGAATTACAATAGCTATAACCCAACAAGCAATATTATGTTTACATGACATCTAATAGATGTCTATACACTGACGTGTTCAAAAACTAGTTGTCCACAAATGATGGTTGACGTTCATAGTGACAGGATATGATGGAACTACAGTCAGTAGCCATAACCAACCAAGCAATATCATGTTTAAATGACGTCTTATAGATTTCTAAACACTGACGTCTTTAAAAACTAGTTGTCCACAAATGTTTCTGTTGACATTCATAGTGATGAGATAAGCTGGAATTACAGTAGCTATAAACCAAGAAGCAGTTTTATGTTTGGTTGACATCTAATAGACGTCTCAACATTGACTTCTTCAAAAACTAGTTGTCCAGTAATGATAGTGTTGATGTTCATAATGATGAGATATGATGGAATTACAGTAGCCATAACCAACCAATCAATTTTATGTTTGATTGACGTATAATGTTAGATTTAGATGTCTAAACATTGTCGTTATGGCTAAAACAAGGCGAAATTTGGACTATAGTGAAAATCTAAGAGACAATAACAATAGTCCCAAACTAGACGACAGTTATTAAATAGACAGATTTCATGCATTTAGTCTAGTCCTTTATTCCTGTCTGTTTGATGACTAGTTTTAGACTATTAATAGATGTCTATTCGATTTTCACTTTTGTTTTAGCCAATACGTCTATTAGATGTCTATTGGACATCTATTAAACAAACACATAAAATGCTTGCTGAGAAGCAACCATGTACTTGGTGTGTTCCATTAAACCGCAGTTGTACGACAAATATGGTATATGGTTAAACGTTGTGTGGCAAAACCATTGTTGTGGTTACAAGTTTTGCTACCAAAATACGTTTATGCGCAGTAAGTGTTAATTTTCGTAAGTTGTAGCTTTGAATAGGATATGTGGTGCTAATATGTAGTACTGACAACTACAGACTACTGTTTCATACAAAAATTAGACCATTTGTGCAATTAGAGACAACAATTAAAGGGATAGTTCACTCAAAAATAAAAGTTTCCACACTGTTACACTCAAGTAGATCTAAACCTTTTCGAGTTTCTTTCTTCTTTTGAACACAAACCAAGATATTTTGAAGAAAGATTAAGTCCATTGTCTTCCATGGGTAAAACAAATACAATTGAAGTCAATGGTTATGGTTTCCTACATTTTTCATCATGTGTTCATCAGAAGACAGTTTGGAAGGAGGGAAAGTATATGATGACAATTTTCATTTTTGGATTAACTATCCCTTTAACGTATATGGATGTTATTAGCAAAAATACTATTGTACAAATATTGGCACAATTTACTGCACTTCCAACAATGTTAATGTAATTACTTGCCTTTATCAGCTAATGAATAGGAAGTCTAACACATTCACATGAAATAGTGTGCATTTATGATCTCATAGTTGAGGGGCACAAACAAGTCTCTATGGTAACCGGTGGCATCTTGGCTGGGAAAATGTCTGTGTGGGTCAGTTATCCAGGGTAATGCGATTTGCCATGCAGCAGTGTGCTTTAATTCGATCCCTATCGGAGCTCCCTTTCCATTTTGCATTCGCACAAAGACCCTCTCTTAATGGCATAAAAACAAACTGCTTCAAAAACTAGTTGCCCAGAAATGATTGCGCAGATGTTCACAGAGAGGAGATATGATGCGAAATGAAAATTCCTTATGTAATTTGTATTGTTCGTCACATGGATGTTGACATGCTAACCATCCTCTAGCACAAAAGTGTCTCCACCCTAAAATGACTCGCTGCCTCGTTTTGCTTATCGAGTTCATCTTCCATTATCGAAGCTGGCAGAGGTTAGCAAAAGATATTAGAAATCACCAGCTGTGGCAAAGCATATTATAAGCTTGAAAAAACAAAGAGCGGAAAGGCCTAGACTGCTTTTTGACTGCGTGTGATTTGATTTTATGGCTAATTTTCAGTAAAAAAATAAGGGGAGGGAGGGCCATTAATGGTTAATGGATATGCAATCAGCCTGTTATAATTACATTTTGGGGGGGGGGTCCAAAATTGTTTAAATAAAAAAAATGAACTACAAAAGAATTAAAAAGAACTATGAAGAATTACAATGAAGTAGGTTCAAACTAGGATGTTTGGCACGGTTTCAAAATTGAAATTCAAACACTTCGTAGACATTATTGGATAAGATATGAATTATAATTTATAGTTCAGAGTATATACAGGAATTAGAGAGGGAAATTTAATACCTTTTGAGACCTTTTTTTTAAAGACTTTTAAGACCTTCAAATTATGTTTCAACTTTAAACATTGGCGAGATTTTAACTTACCAGTACATTTACAAAATTTTTATGTAAGAAATCAATCCAAAACTAAAACATTGTTCATATTCTGAATAAAGTATGAAATCTAGCTAATTCAGCAGGTTGACGCCTATAGAACTGCAGAAATAAAGGTGTTGCCTTGGTTACTGCAGTAAACAAAGCAGCATGATGTCAAGTCTAGTAGGATTTTATTGATTTCATGAACTACACAGCATTCTGATATTCACAGATTTAATTCAGGCAAACTTTAGCATACAACATTGCATAATTAAAAATTATATAAAACTGAATACCTTGCAAAGTAGCATTTAAGACTTTTTTTAATGGCCTTAAATTTCTCTACATAGATTTATCAACTTTTAAACACTTGAATCTAATTCATTTAAACTAATATCATGACAACTTAATTATGCCAAAGTCATATGCTAAGTCTCATGAAATGGTCAGTTATGCTGAAGTCAAAACACAGTCCTATGTTTGACTAGTTAAGAATAATAACTTTTCATTAGCCACACTGTATGTTTCCATTTAACTATTTTTATGAACATTTTGGAAAAATTGCAAAAAATATTTAATGAAAACGCTGAGATTCATTTATTTGAATGATTAATGATTATTCTGATGATTTATTTGAAATTTTTTTTTACTTTAAAAATGTTTTGTCCTATTAGAAAAGACGTACAAAATTACAATGAATTAAAATTAAATTCTAGCATGCACATAAAAAAGTCATGTGATTCTGTTTTACCAGATCGGATGTGATGACAAAAAAAGGGTCCAATAGGATGGCATTAATGACAAACGAGCAGACCAACCACACTGTAAAACATATGGAATATTGTTTCTAGTCATTTTCTATAATCCTTCAGCCAAAGTCTGTCATCAAAGTGGTTATATTATTATTAGTACTATTACTACCTACAGAACTGTAGCATTACCTTCAGCAGAGTATTGATCCACAATAACGTGTTACTGTATTCTAATAAAATTTTTGAGGAACGCAGAAACGCAACGAGTTACATTTGAGTAATTTGATTAGTTACTAAAGTCAATGTAATTGTGTTACTTACATTACAAATAAAGTTTTTAGAAGAAAAAAGGCAGCTTTTAAATCACGCTTTCCGCGCCTACGCCAGTTAATAAGCATTTTAAATTGCTGGAGAACCCAAGCTGACATAGGAGCTGTCGAGTAGTAAACACAGAGGCCTGAACTCAGCCTAAACTGGCTAAATTATTTCATTTATTCATTTTTGACATTTTGATATCTTGCACCAGTTTTATCAGAAAGTGATGATTTTATTCATTGGGACAGAAAAAAAAAGGTTGAGTTTCAAGTCTAATTTGCAGTTTTGGATGGAAATATAGCTACTCTCAACAATTGTTGATAATGACCTTTGCCATATTTATGATTTTTTTAATCATTATAATAATAGGCTGATAATTCAACACTAAATTTCAAAGTCTAACTTTTTTTCCATACCCAGAACAGTGAGTTTCCTCAATTAAACTCTATTAGCTTAGCAATCAATGCTTATTTGGTTTCTGCAGCGTTCAGCATTCTTTTCTTCCGGGTTTAATTCTCTTTAGCTTCTCCAGCTGGTCTTGTTGAGACACCAGGCATCTTCAGGGGTCTTGAAGACACTCATTAAGGTGCGATTAACAGTAATTGGACCCAACAAGGAAGATTCAAGACCAGCAGAGCCCTGCCAACCTGAACTCTTTCTCCTCAGCCACTGTTTTTTTGTGTGTCATGTTATGAATGCACTCGGATGCACAACGTCCAGCTTGAGTAATTGAATATTTCAACATGCTCACTGGAGCACAGATCCTCCCACGGTGAGAGTTGCGTCAAACTAAACATGCGGAAAAAAACAGTGGGTGGAACTGATCGAAGCTTTGACCATGAAAACAGAGCATGGGTGTTGGGAAGCCACTGATGAATTTTGCATATTGCTCTGTTTCAATAGAAGCATTAAAGCAGGTCTGTAACTGAAATCAAGGTCCTTAGTGATAGTTATAAAAATCAAGTTAACAGCTACTGATAATTTGAAGGAGAAAATAAACAACATAAATTTGAATATATTTTTTGGCACTCCAGGGCTATTTACCTGACAAAATTTTTAGCCAAATATTGGAAACTTTTTTATGGTTGAGAAACATTGATTTACACAACAACGTTATAGTGAACAAAACTCAAAACTCAAAGTGGAAGTGTTTGAAAATGCCACCATTGTCGTGTCTACTGTGTGTAAACACCCAAAAACGAGATTCCTTGAAAACAATCACGTCATGCATGTATGTGATACATGTTTAGGCCGGTGTAGATTAAAGGTAAGCACAAACAAACATAAACAATAATGGCGGAATATGGGCAAACAGCATTTTAAGGGATCTTACTCACCCTACATAGTCTGCTCATGCCATCAAGC